CTGCTGAAATACTTGATAATTGAAAACAATCCAAAGATAAAGTAAAAACTGAAACAATGGGTTTAACTCCTGATGGACGTGCTCTATTTAAATCTTTACTGGTAGAACAAAGAACTAACTCCATTGGTTAATGGAATTGGTAGTAATAAACCAATTGACAAAGTTGTTAGTCAATTTGAAGATATTTTTTTTGCTGAATCTGAATATGAATTTGATCACAAAGAAGAAGAAGTAAGTATTGAAATTTTAAATTTAGAGAGTAAAAAAGAAAAAAAATTAAAGAAATTGAAGGTTTAAACCAAAAAAATAATCATCAAAAATTATTAGATGAACAAACTAAGTTAGAAACTAATGTTGCTACTTTAGTTACTGCTTTAAAGAATGATCTTAAAACTCCAGGAGTAGGTGGTCGCAAGTTTTTTGATTTAATAGCTGAAAATAATAAAAATACTTCAAATGAAATATATACATCTACTGCACCAGCTACTACTGAAATTTATGGATCAATTATCAAAACTGGTTATAATGGTTGTAGTAGACCTTATACTCATCCTATTTATTTGACGATTGATTTTCAATGTCAAATTTGAACTCTTTTAAAGGATATTGACAAAGATAAACTTTTTGAATATATTGATTCTCCTGATTGTTCTTGAAGTGCTAAGGATAAGGAAAAGTTTAAAAAAACATTTTCTCGAGTTGTAAATTTGGAAATTGAAATTTGAAACCCTGGCAATAAAAATGAAATGTCTGGTTTTAATAATAAGGGTTACAAACAAGAAGATAAAAACACTTACCGATATATAAGTGACATTTTTTACATTATGCATGCTCTCTTTCCTAAAAATAAAGTTAGTGAATACAAAAATAGTCCTTTCTTAAAAAAAGGTGAAAAGAGTTGTTTGCAGTTTAATGATACAGAAAAGAGTATTGATACTCCTTATAAGATTCTTTGACGAGGAGCAGATGCAAGTATTATTGGAGTAAATTATTCGCTTACCAGTCCAAGTATTATGAAAGCTCCTTTTCCAGGTGAAGAAAAACATTTAACTTGAGCCAATGGTCAAATCCCTGAATTCTTTTGACAAGTTTATAATAATAATGAAGCCATTGATTTTAGTGCCTATCATGAAATATTAGGTCCTGATGCTGTTGTAAATAGCCGATTTTGCTATTTACTACGGAATTGTTTAATTGGTCAAAAATTCACTCCCATGTATTTTAGAG